CTACGCTAGCCGTCCCTAATTTAGGAGTGACCGACTAGAGGGAAGGCAGCTAGTCATCAACACCCATCGCCATTGGGCTACTATTTATCAACGAATAGTGGTCTTGACCATCACATTATAACGTCTTCACAACTAAAATGATAAGTGATTGGAGGGGGGGGGGTGTATATTCGGCGACAGGTTTCGATCCGTTTATTCAATACATACTTTTGTGTCAGAGTCAGATGTTTACTCCGCTGTTCAAAGATGAACCACTTCTGGTTTGTCTCAATTAAAGATCATGAACATGACTGCTAAAAAACAAGACTTACTGAACATGACCGTGCTTGGTCATTAATTTTTAAACAAATATGTACAGAGTACGAAATCAAAAACTGCCCTTTATTACCTTAAAACAAAAACGGGTGATTTTGTACTGAACAGGGAGTGTTTTGCCTTTCGTTAAATACATGGAACAGAACAGAACACGAGCTTCATTTGACTAAATACATGGAACAGAACAGCACATGAGCTTCAGTTAACGAAATGCATAGAACAGAACATGAGCTTCAATTAACGAACTACATGGAACAGAACAGAACATGAGCTTCAATTGACTAAATACATGGAACAGAACAGCACATGAGCTTCAATTAACGAAATACATGGAACAGAACATGAGCTTCAATTAACGAAATACATGGAACAGAACAGAACATGAGCTTCAATTGACTAAATACATGGAACAGAACAGCACATGAGCTTCAATTAACGAAATGCATAGAACAGAACAGAACATGAGCTTCAATTAACGAAATACACGGAACAGAACATGAGCTTCAATTAACGAAATACATGGAACAGAACAGAACATGAGCTTCAATTAACGAAATACACGGAACAGAACATGAGCTTCAATTAACGAAATACATGGAACAGAACAGAACATGAGCTTCAATTAAAGAAATGCATAAAACAGAAAATGAGCTTCGATAATCAAATTTCATAGAAAAAAACAAAACATGAAACTCGATCGTCAAAATATATAGAAAAAACATGAAATTCAATCGTATAACATGAATTTTATCGTCGTAATACATAGAAAAGAATACGAATTACGGCCTCCCAAATACTTATCTTTGTTATTTATTTGGTGTAAGAAAGTTTGCGTATAAAAACCTGAGAAAACGGGAAAAATAATACACTTATATAGAATACGAGGCGTAATTTTGTACCAGAATACTCGTTTGTTTAAATACAATTAATTCTATAATAAGCAAACAGAAATTGTGTGAATCATGGACGTGAAATAAAATACGGGGTTAGCAGAATTTCCCCTAAGTCGTATATTTATGTATTAATATACTACCTCAAGCAATGCTAAATTGCTTCATAAAAAGAAATGAAAATGTATTGATAGTGCCTCGTGCAAGAGGGTTCCCCGGTGGGTACGGACTTATAACGATGCAATCCGGGTTTCGATTCCCCGCGGTGGACACAGCAGATAGCCCAATGTGACTTTGCTCTAAAATAAACACACAAACTCGTGCAAGACGTTAGTCCACGATGTTTACGTGAAAAGTGTAGGCCAATCGTCGTACACGTGGGCGTTCGGCGCGGGAAATCACCCACCCTCTCTTCTATCGACTGGTAAACCACCAAATCTGTTGCGGCCACTATACCCAAACCGGGGACGGGACACGACAACTGAAAAGCCGTACTCGGGGAATAAACGTTTGTCTCGTTGCCCGCTCATTTGCTGCTTGTATGAAAAATAAAATGTCAAAAACACCATATGAAAAAAATAAAAAACACGGTAATAGTTAAAACAAGAAACAACCTATAGATATGTGTTTTTTAAATAACAAAAATATTAGTGATAAACTGTAAGAAATCTTTATTAACTGTCCCCATAGACAAAGTAATAATGAGTGCCCACCCCCCTAAAAAAAAATGTGTTCCTAAGTTAAACTAAATGTGGCGTTTCTTTCGTTTCTGTAGAGCACGTTGTTCATTAATTAACTTGAACAACTAACCGAAATGATATTAACCCTTTCCATCTGTACGAGTAGGAATGAACAATAAATATGTCATTTCGGTATAGCTTTTTGTGTTCACCACGTAGCATATTTACCGCACACCTTCAACAGACCTGATGAGTTCTGGAATTAAGCGAAAGTCTTCGTTTGCAGCGGAGTGAAGCACAAGTTGTGTGCGGTAACGAAATGCTATTATGTTTTTCTTACTATAAACCTGTATAAGATCAGTAAATAAAGACTTGTTAAACATTATTATCAGTGTTATACTGCTGTAATGTCACATGGAAACCCGTGTAAGACCAGTAAAGGAAGACTTGTTAAACATTATTATCAGTGTTATACTGCTGTAATGTCACATGGAAACCCGTGTAAGACCAGTAAAGGAAGACTTGTTAAACATTATTATCAGTGTTATACTGCTGTAATGTCACATGGAAACCTGTATAAGACCAGTAAATAAAGACTTGTTAAACATTATCAGTGTTATACTGCTGTAATGTCACATGGACATATATTAATAACCACACTGTAACGTATGAATAAAGCACACAACGGCAAATAACCGTAAAAACATCATAAACAGTTTCTGTTAAGCCCCCAGTGGCACAGCGGTATGTTTGCGGACTTACAACGCTTAAAACCGGGTTTAGATACCCGTGGTGGCAGAGCAAAGATAGCCCATTGTGTAGCTTTGTGCTTAGCTTCAAATAAACAAAACAAAAAAAAAAAAAACAGTTTGCGTCAAGCTTGTTGATGAGTATAATCTGTAACCAAGACAACAAAGTTTATTAATTTTGTTGAGGTCCGGCATATTAGGGCACTAAATTCACAATCTACGGGTCTCGAGATCGATACCCTTCACCAAACATACTTCCTCTTACCCTTTCAACCCTGGGGGCTTGGCTTATAATGTGACGGTCAATCGCGGTCTTCGTTAGTGAAGAGTAGCTCAAGAAGAGTTGGCGGTGGGTGGTGTGTTGACTATCTGCTTTCCCTCTAGTCTATCACTTAAAAATTAGGGATGGCTAGCGCAGATGGCCATCGAGTAGCTTTGCGCGAAATCCAACGAACTGACAAATGATTAATGCTAGAACACAATTTATTTATCTCGTAAAGAAACATATCAAGTAACCAAGACAACAAAGTTTATTAAGCTTCTTAATGATCATAGCCAGTAACCAAGACAACAAAGTTTATTAAGCTTGTTAACGATCATAGCCAGTAACCAAGACAACAAAGTTTATTAACCTTGTTAATGATCATATCCAGTAACCAAGACAACAAAGTTTATTAAGCTTGTTAATGATCATAGCCAGTAACCAAGACAACAAAGAATATTTACTGTCACTTTATTAATACACTTAAAAATGATGCAGTGTTGTTGAGAGGGCTTTTGTTAAAGAAAATTATTCAATTACTAGCTGGAGTAGTACCCGTCTCCTGGACAGAAGTTATGTAAATTCATGATTAATGAAAAGTTATCTTAGGGCATGAAAAGTTGCTTCCCTTATACGTAATTGTAAAAAAAATGTCCATAAAGACAGCAAAACACAAAATGCGAAATCGCAAATTTGCGTGTATCTCCGCATGGTCACAACAAACCTTCATGCCAAATTTGGTGAAGGTCTATCAACAGGGGGAGAAGTAGTGGTTAAAAACGCAAAAACGCCCATAAA